CCATAGGCTGATTATAGGTTAAAGCCCACTCAGATAGTTGGTTTTGGACGATTGATAAGGAATTGGTCCGGTGATGTGGTTTTACTAATTTTAGAGAAAATACTTACTACTTCAGAGATTTCTACTATCTGTAGGTATAATAACTCGTACACCGGTGCCTATGCTTGTCGAAATGACAAGTACAACACCAAAAGAAAACTCGGGAACTAGTGTTGGCTAGAACGTCCTAAGGTTGGAAAAATGTTCTAATAATCTACTTTAGGACGAACTTAAATGGAAGTCGATCTTCCTCTGAAGATCTGGAATGATCATTAGTGCGTTTGGAAAGATTAGTGTTATCAGGGACCAAAAGTGATTGTCTCAAAATGTTCTTTCATCAAGTGCTACCCCTATAACACCACATTGTCACACAAGACATTTCTGAAAATTTCGACGAAAACTAAAACTTCATAGGGATTCTAATAGGTAATACACTAACGGGTACTACCAATGAATCAAGACTATTTATGGTTTCCTAACTCAAAAAGGTTGGAAGAAATGACTAGTTAGTAGTGGAACTGGTAGGTAATTCTCTCATTTGGATACACAACTATCAATATAGTAGCCCTGCTTCAGAGCCATCAACTTATCTCAAATCTACATCTTTCCTTGGCAGGGGAATTCTTCGCTTATAATTATAGAGGCGTTCGCCAAAATAATTTTCTAAAAGGTCGATAAGTCGACTAAGTCACACAAGACTTAGAAAAAGGTAATACATCTTTCGTATTCAACGAGGTGGCAAGATTCAACATTTAGGTTCAAGAACCAAGAATACTTACATCACACATGTAATGAATGCAATACTGCTCAACTTATGCTCTGATACTAAACTGACACACCCCAACCTGAAATGTCCACTAGGACTCCGAATCAAGTTGTGATGGCCGACACCTGGAAGGTGACGAAGCCATAAAGTGTAGTGATGTGGAAAATGTGAATAAATTTAAACTTAAAAGTACCTTAAGACAAGAGTGCGTTGTGAGCGAAAATGAACTCATTTCACACGCGACGTCAGAGCATAAGGAAAGTACAGTATAATGGGTAAATATTATACCCTCAGAGGTAGCCATCTATGTCACATCCCGACCCGGGCCCACTACCATATCTCGGGCTCGACTCCGCCGTAGTACGATATTGTCTGCGTTAGGTCCTGACCACGCCCTCACAGTTTTGTTTCTCGGAACTCACACGAGAACTTCCCAGTAGGTCACCCATCTTGGTATTGCTTTCGCGCAAACTCGCTTAACTTCGGAGTTCCTACAAAACCCGAAGCCAGTGAGCTTCCAAAAGGCCGTATGCTAATTGGAGGTGGGCATGTACATATAAGGCATAGAGGATCCACTCCCCTAGGTGATGTGGGATGTTACAACCTATACTAAGATTCGCCAAGAATCCTCGTCGATACGAACATCCAGTAGCTAAAACCTGGAGCGACGAAAAACAAAGGTGAGTGGGCCTAAAAATAAAGTTTTAATAAAAACCTTATGCAAACGTTATAACCCCTCACTGTAATAGTTCCCATAAAATAATAATACGTACATATAAAAGCAATGCTCAGAAGTAGTGAAAACAGAGGTATTCCATGTCAAAATGTTTAGCAATAAAATGTGTAAGCCAGGTGATATGAATCGATGTCAAATAATATATTAGCTGGAATCACTTAACGTGACCTATACAGCTGGACCTACAACTCATCAACTTATGCATGCACACGAGTCGGAACCACCTATTGTGGTATGTACGACAAGCTGGGTGTAAATAAGTACACTCAAGTGCTACAATCACGTGAAAGCAATGCGACAAATCGCGGGTCACCTACGAGTCGGAACCACCTATTGTGGTCTGTACGATAGGCTGACACCAAACTTGGATCCAAGGTGAGCGTGCGGTGCGAGAGATGAACAATCACGTGAAGGCTGTGCCCTGGCCTCGGGAGGGAACACTAACACCGGGGTGCAGGACAATAAGCTCTAAATGCATCTATGCATAACCATAAACAATGTTGATGCACAAAACCAGAGAGGTCTTGGAACAACGTAAATCCGACCTGAATCTGCAAGAAAGTAAAGAACACAAGATGTATCGTGATTCACCCCAATGTTTGGGCTACGTCCACACTGATATTGTATTTCTCTGTTTGTGAGAGGATTGTGAGGGTGAGAGCTTTGTAATGTGAGAATAAGGCTTGAGGTTTGTGAGGGTGAGGATGCCTTTTATAGAATAAGGGCTCCTCACTTATTACATATTTACCCTTTCATTTATTACATAATTACATTTGAGTCCCCCAAGTATTTATACGAGATTTAAATACAGAGGCCCTAAGTATGGTATAAACAGTAGTCCCCCAAGTCTTCAGTCAAGAGAGTCTTTTGGCTGGAGACTTGAAATTCAATATGTTGATGCACAAAACCGAAAGGGTCTTGGAACAACATAAATCTGACCATGAATCTGCAAGAAAGTAAATAACACAAGATGTATCATGATTCACCCCAATGTTTGGGCTACGTCCACATTGATATTGTATTTCTCTTAGAGGATTGTGAGAGAGAGACCCTCTGTAATGAATATAAGAGGCTTTGAGAGGGTGACAGGCTTTGGGGATCTCAGGCTTAAGAATTGGCCTCCCCTAATAAGAAGAGTGAGGAATCCTTTTATAGAATAAGGAATCATCACTTATTACATATTTGCCCCTTCCTTTATTACATAATTACATTTGAGTCCCCCGAGTATTTATACGAGATCTAAATACGAAGGCCCTAAGTATGGTACAAACACAGTCCATGTGTGGGCTGAAGTAACTAGATGTCATCTTGAACTGATACTTGATATGAGGCGGTGCCTAATCTGAAATGATGCTCAACTAGAAGTAGCACATGTTGCGATGCTACTCGGTTTGTGGCTTATGTTGCCTTGGTTGGTTCGGCTTGTGGCGTTGAAGGTGAGGGAGTCCCTTTTATAGAATAAGGGCTCGCTCCTCAATACATGAATGATGGGCTGGAGTTGATGCTCTCTAATGATGGTGAGGGAGTCTCTTTTATAGAATAAGGGATCGATCCTCAATACATAAGTGATGGGTTAGGAGTGATGCTCGCGGCGAGGCGGTTGCTCAGCTGGCGGCGATGCTCTCTAATGATGGTGAGGGAGTCCCTTTTATAGAATAAGGGTTCGCTCCTCAATACATAAGTGATGGGCTAAGAGTGATGCTCGCGGCGAGGCGGTTGCTCAGAAGGCGGCGATGCTCTCTAATGAAAGTGAGGGAGTCTCTTTTATAAAATAAGGGATTGCTCCTCAGTACATGAATAATGGGTGTTCTCTAATGAAAGTGAGGGAGTCCCTTTTATAGAATAAGGGATTGCTCCTCAGTACATAAATAATTGGCTAAGTCCCCCAAATATTTTTCATAAGGCTCAGTTGTGGAAGCCCAATATGTGGTACATAATGTAGTCCCCCAAGTCTTTAGTCAATAGAGGATGTTGGCTAGAGACTTCAAATTCAATCCATGTATGGGCCGAAGTGGCGGTTGTTCGGAAGCAGTTTTTGTATACCATGCACTGAAGCTTTGTAGGTGAAGCTTTTAAAGTGAAGCTTTGAAGCTGGAGCTCTGTAAATGAAGTTTTCGAAGCTGATTGACATAAGTGATGCTCATGAATGTTTGTGTTGATTGACATGAGTGATGCTCATGGATGTTGACATGAGTGATGCTCATGAATGTTGACATGAGTGATGCTCATGAATGTTGACATGAGTGATGCTCATGAATGTTGACATTAATGATGTTCATGAATGTTTATGTATGATTGACATGAGTGATGCTCATGAATGTTTATGTATGATTAACATGAGTGATGCTCATGTATAATTTTGGAGTACTGGATGTACTTTTGATCACTTGGTTGGTGATAATAGCGGCATGCTGCTTAATAATTTTTGGAGTACTGGATGTACTTTTGATCACCTGGTTGGTGATAATAGCGGCAGGGTGCCGAATAAAGTTGGTGATAATAGCGGCAGGGTGCCAAATAAATTTGGAGTACTGGACGTACTTTTGATCACCTGGTTGGTGATAACAGCGGCAGGGTGCCGAATAAATTTGGAGTACTGGACGTACTTTTGATCACCTGGTTAGTGATAATAACGGCAAGGTGCTGAATAAATTTGAAGCCATAGGGCCTGACTCTTTTGGGCATATGGGTCTTCACCCTCCACATAACATTGCAGCCCATTATTTTGGGCTTGCAGTTTTTTTTTTTTTTTTTTGGGCATGCTACCTTCTTTACACATCAGTATAACTATACAATAATTGCTCCAATTTGTAGAAGATAATTTAATAAAATATTCATCAACAACAGTGGGTATAGGTGTGCCATGCTTTCCACTTCCGCTTGTTGGTTGTAAAGGTCAGTATACTCTAGCTGTGAAAGGGCAATATTCATTTATCTAAAGTGACAGCTGCTTGGACAACCTTTCCGACATCACCCATTTGCTTTTCTCTAGCTTTCTCAAAGATTGGGAATATGCATGATGAAAGTGTAGGCATCTTCTTTGGTGGTCGACAAAAGCAAAAATAGCTTCAAGTCATTGAACGGCAGCATAAGCACCACAACTCGTCAACGGACGACTTTTGCTGTTTGGGAAGGCGTTCAGGATAGGGAAACCGGAGATTCTGGGCATGAATCATCTGGCGTTGAGTCATCATCATGTTTTTCTCCTCAAGCAGAACATACCATAACTTATTGAGATCATCCCAAGACTTTAGACGTAATTCAGCTGCCTTCCAACTTCGACCGTAGACAACTGGCTTTTCTTCCTCAATACATAAGTGGGGTTCTCCCAGTTACGAGTTGAAATAAAATTGCACCAACACTCCAGAGATCTGCCTTTGCATCATACTTTTGAGGTTGCATTATCTCTGGAGCCATGTAAAGTGGTGAACCACACAAGGTTTCAGCAAGGCCTTGAGGTTACAGGGATCTTGTAAATCCAAGATCTACAATCTTCAAGACAGAATTGTTGTCATTGGTGGACAACAACAGATTCTGTGGCTTGAGATCTTGATGTATAAGATTGTTGTCACGAAGCATTTGCAGACCAGCGACTAGCTGCTGCATGAAGTGCTCTGCAAGAGCTTCGGGCACTTTTCCATGGCGTTCTATATAGATAGAAAGATCACTACCTATGCAATACTCTAAAACAAGATTTATCTTCCCAGGAACCTCTATAATATTGTGCAACCGCATAATATTTGGGTGGTTAATCTTCTTCAGTATGAAAATCTCCGACATTAAACTCTTCTGCAACTTCTTGTTCAGCCACCCAGTCCCAATCTCCTTAATCGCCACCTACGTCCCGTGCCAAACCACCAAGAACGAAACCAACCCAATTTGCCGACCTACCAAATAATCCCCGATAACGCTGGTGATGAAGATCCTGAACAGTCCAGATCGGCGATCTAGGAGCGAAGATCCAATGCGGTTGTTGAAAGCAGTCGCAGACTGCTCGCTGTTTGATGCGCTTTCGTCGTCATCGTCTTTGCTTCCGTCTGGGAGAACGCAGCTCTCGCAAAAAAAGTGTGGCCGAGCTTTTCACTGGAGCCCTTCCACGGCGTGAGAGACTGGCAGTCGCGCTAGAGGAGGCTCTGGGAGTGGCGAGACACCAGGAAATTGGCACCGTGAAGAAAAACCCAGCCTGTTTCGAAAAAGTCGTTGATGGCGAGGAAGGAACCTCATCAAACTTCAGTTGGTTGTTTGGTATACCTTCTGCATGCTCAGATCTGCAAACTCCAGTTGGTGTTGCAGATTCGGCAGATCAAACCTGAAATTGAATCAAGAAAACGGTTTTCCTCGAGCCAGGGTGCACGGGTCAACAGAGATGGAGTTCCAAGTGCTGATCTTGTTGGATGCATTCTGCAAGTGAGAAACAAAGCTAGGTGGTGTTCGACCATGGCTGCCATTTTGTAAGTGAGAGCAGAGAGAGTGAAGAAGACAAGTGAGTGGTGAGATAGATAGAGTGAGGAATGTGGCCCTGATGGCTTTGTGTTTGTGGGGGTTTTCTGGAAAAGCCCAATGAGGTTCTAGGTTTCTGCAGATTTTACAGTGTTGATTTTGCATATTTTACAGATTTTGCAGATTTACAGTGAAGGTGAAAAAATGAAAGAGAACCGACATAGTTTTTCGTGTCGTTTCCCACAGATGGCGCCAAATGTTGATGCATAAAACCGGAGGGGTCTTGGAACAACGTAAATCCGACCGTTAATCTGCAAGAAAGTAAAGAACACAAAATGTATCGTGGTTCACCCCAATGTTTGGGCTACGTCCACACTGATATTGTATTTCTCTGTTTGTAAAAGGATTGTGAGGGTGAAAGCTTTGTAATGTGAGAGTGAGGTTTGAGGTTTGTGAGGGTGGGGAGGCCCTTTTATAGAATAAGGGCTCATCACTTATTACATATTTGCCCCTTCATTTATTACATAATTACATTTTAGTCCCTCGAGTATTTATACGAGATCTAAATACGGAGGCCCTAAGTATGGTACAAACAAACAATACAACCAATATCATCCTAACATACTCACCTAAAGCTTACCTGAACCTCCGCAACATCATTCAATATATTTGAATTCATAACAATGCAATATGTATAATATAATGCATGCTCGACATGGCATGAGGTGAATGAATCAATTCAAAAGGATTTGTGGAAACTATCATTCATATAAACATATATACTATAAAAAGGAAAATACCCATTCACCTGGAGTCCGCGCTACAACTCCCTAACACGAACATAGAGGTGTCACGAACGATCGGCACCTATAACAATTATCAAATCACATCTCAAAATCCTTATCGATAGAACACGTAACTTACATAAAACACATCCCCAAGGACGTTCTAGAATGATTTGAGACCCATTAACCAAAAGTCAACCGTCGGTTAAAGATCGACGATAAGGTCCACAACCCTACGTAACTCGATCTGGAAGATCAGCATCTTCGATTTCTGATCTGTAACTTTCAAAGATCCACATTATGCCTCTAAAACATCATACTAAAGTTTCATTACGATCCAACAGTTGGATCTCCGCCAATTGCAAATTCAAGTGGTGGCTAATGTTTTATTTTATGAACTTACAAATCCAATTTGGGAAGATCCATACGTCAAATTCACCATCCGTAAGTTCCTATGGTCCTTAAATATTACGTACTATAATGTAGTAAAGTTTGGTGACGATCCAACGATCGGATCATCGATTCAAATAATAACCTATTAACGTATCGTAGAGAATTTAGGTTCTAACGATCAACCTACGTCATACAATTATCAGAAATGAACTCAAGGCATCTAATTTATCCTAAAAATAGCATGGACGACCTTCTGGTCACAGGCCGCCCTTACTTGTCGGAAAAAATCAACTATTTCAAAAAATTACCAAATTTTATAGGCAAGTAGATCTTAGTAAGGGGAACAATTTTCATACCTGTGATCAAGTCCAATTTGGTTTGGAAAGGCCCCAAATCGACTTGAACCCGTCGAAAACCCTTGATTTGGGTAGTTGTTGTTTCGTCACCAAAACGAACTCCGACGCCTCATCCAAGGCTTGGGCCTTGCTCCTGGGGTTAAGAGGAGTCTTTTTGTGGTGGTCATCGACGGTGAAACTCGCCAGAGCCACCGAAAAAAGATTAAAGCTGTCGGAAAGGTCGTGGACTTTGTGGCTTCGAACTGGAAAAATGGGAAAGAAATTGGGAAATCTAACACTACAGAGATATAGGGCTCTTCAAGGGATTTCCATGGACACCAAGATCACCCAAAATGGAGTTCTTATGAACGAGATATGAGCGGGTCAAGTTGGCGGGTCAAATGGAGAAATCGGGTTTGGCCGATTCTCTCCTTCTTCCTTCCCTCTTTTCCCTCATTTCCTTTCTTCCTCATTTTTCTCCTTTCTCTTCTTTCTCTCCTTGCTTCCTTCATCTCATCCATCCATCTCACTGCCCTTTTCATCTCAGCCACACACGTGGCACTCCAGATTCTCTGGAGCCTTCCAAATTAATGGAAAATTATCTATTTTGCCCTCGACTTCGATCATTAATAACTTATTCCTTATAACTTCAAATTACGTTTCGTTTACGCCCACACGTTCATAACGACGAGTACTATGAAGATACGCCAAGAAAATAGATTTTACATGACATGACATGGCAGTCAACAAAAGTCAACCTCCTCGTCTCTAAGGGCAATTTCGTCCTTTCACTCTTCTAAAATGAATAAAAACCGTAAAATTGGGAACATGTCGTTACATTTCTCTTCCTAATTTTTAATGTATTAATTTTAGGAGAAATTAGGTTCTCATCCCTCTTTTGCTACTCCATTGATTAAAACCTTATTCATTTTCAATTTTTTATGAAGGTTCTTAGGTATTAATAAACGTCATTAATTATTTCAATAACAAAGTATTTTTTTTATTTCTAAATATATTCATTTAGTGTTAGAAATGTTACACTTGGTATATTTGTATTTATGGATAAATTTTTGTTATAAATTTTTATTTTTAGTTTGTACCCATTTTTAATTTGCAATCCTTTTTCAATTTGTACCAATTTTATATTCTGTTTTAATTTGTACCCATATATTAATTTCTTGTTGTGCCCATATTTTTTATTTGTATTTGTACCCATATTTTTTTTTAATTTATTTGTACCCATTTTAAATTGTGCTAAATGTACCCATGCTAATTATATGCATTTATTTTATGTTTTAAAATGTATCAGTAGTTATTTTTTAAAATATGTTAGTAATTATGTTGGTATATCATTTCTTGCTATAATTTTGTGATGAACAATATTACTCTTATATTTTTTTAAGTATTTATTATATTTTAAATATTATTTGAATTTGTTTAAATTTTATGATTTGTGGGACATTAAATGCATGAGTTAAATCTCTTAAATGATGTTAAGGACCTCGATCAAAATATTTAAACTAACATGGTTTCAGTTTAACAATTAGGTTAATTAGAGACCGGAACCAAAATGATTCAACTCCATTGATTGAAACTTATTCCTTTTCAAATTTTAATCAAGGTCCCTTGGTTTTAATAAACATCATTAATTATTTCAATAATAAAATATTTTACATATCAAGATAATTAAATTTTATTTTCAAATTATTCATTTAGTGTTTAAAAACGTTACATATGATATATTTATATTTATGGCTAAATTTTCTATCGAGAAGCAAATGTAGCCGTTGCAGACCGGTCACATTGGCTACATGTTTTGTTTTTTGTATTTCCTTTTTTCTTAGTCCAATTGGTACAAATTTGTTTTGTTCTATTTGCTTTTTTCACTATATTACCGATGGCTGCTACATGTTTTTTCGTTTTTCTATTTTCCATTTTTGTTTGTTCAAATGGGTACAAATTCGTTTAGAGACTCCAGGAATCTTTAGTGCGCCATTCCTACCACTTCACTCCACAGATCCAAAGCCACACACGGTGGACAGACATTCGGGTCCATACAAATTGGCATGTGTTATAACAAGGAGTCGTACTTAAGATATTTATTCATGCAAATGGGTCGGTTTTTTACGTAGTAAATTATAATTCATATGGTATTCGAGTTTATAAAATAAGCAAACACAAATGTATACATAATCTGTTTAGGCAATAGGCCCTAGCTCCTGTTCGATTAGTGCCTAGTGCAACCTTGATGGACAATGTTACTATTTTTGTCCATGTAGTCATGCAAGCACATAGACAAACTATATATTTTAGGGGTGTGATATCCACACACCCTATTTTACTTCTCACACACCTTCCTAATTTTCGGCCGTCAGATTGGATAAATTGAAGAAGATCAACAGACAGAAATTAATAAAGAGTGTGATGAGTAATTTGAGTTGTGTGGATAGCACATCCCTATATTTTAATGGTTTTAGACCCACCCTATTTTTCTATTTGCCTACCCACCAAACTATACCACCCACCATACAAAGTTAAAATAAAGCCTACTCTTTTCCCACCTACTTTATATCCAAAATACCCTTAATTGACTATGTAATCCGGTTACCCGGTCCAACGCAACTTCATCAGCACGGCTTCCCATCGCGATCCCCATTCCACCGCAAAAACCCCCAAACAGGGCTGGGATCCCACCCCCTCCTCTCAACAACCGTCACCGCCACCAACCCCCAAAAGTCCCATCCCTTTGATTCCTTCTTCATTTGGTTTTTCAAATTTTCAAAAAATAATTTCACTATTACAAATGATAATTGTACAAATCGAATAGAAGAGATGGAGATAATCGCAGAGACATAAATTGATAGACACGGATTTGTTTTATTAGTTTAATTTGCTTATGATTTAGATATATTAGCAGTATTGAAATACCCAAGCATGTCATAGGTCTGGAATATGTCATTTGCCTTCGAGTCTAAATCTCTCTTCTATAAGCTAAATAAATTTAGAGCATCTAGATCAATTTGCATGATTGGTCTTATGATCCTTGTGCGATACAAATAAAAAGTGTACATGTACAATCGTGAAAGTCGAATTGTGATGCTCCTGAGCTACATGAGACAAAGCAGTAATGTTATACACAAATTGTATGCAGCTGACTAGATTAAGATATAGGATACATAAGCGTTTAGGATAATGCAAAAACGTCAGAGAGCCTGCACTCTTTTCTACCAAAACCATTCCTGATTTAATATATATATATTTGTAAATAATTGCAATTTTTTGTAAATAATTGAGAGATGAAGTCATTATTATGAAGTCACGCATACAATTGCAATTTTGTGATTGAGGGATGAAGTCATTATTCGCTGTTTTGAGGATTACGAGCCAGGAAATGAATTCAGTTTTATTTATTAAATTAATTAGTGTACAATATTCATGTTAATTTGGAGAAATTCTTAATTTGCTTCTCGATGTATAGCTAGATAGCTTCTTAAAAAATAAATATTTGTATATTGTAAAACATAAAATAAATACATGTAATTAGCATGGGTACATATATTCAGCAAAAATAATATTGGTACAAATCAAATTAAAAAATATGGGTACATATTAAATTTAAAACTATGGGTACAAACTGAAATTAAAAAGAAAATTGGTCCAAATTTGAAAAAGGGGTACAAATTAAAAGTAGAAATATATGAAACATACAAAGAAATATGGGTACAAATTAAATTGAAAAAATGAGTACATATTAAATTTAAAATTATGGGTACAAATTGAAATTAAAAAGAATATTGGTACAAATTTGAAAAATGAGTACAAATTAAAAACAAAAATATATGAAAAATTCTAAAAAGATATATCTAGAAATTATTAATAAGTTTTTCATTTTTTGAAATTGATATACGATGACATGTAATAATTTAATATTAGAATAATGACATGGACAAAAGTCAAAATACCTTAATAAAATCGAAAAATGATAAAGGTTTCAAATTTAAATTAATGAGAAATGGAAATTAATGAGAGATAGAAACCGAATTTTAATTAAGGAGAAATTAAAATGAGAGATAAGAATCTAATTCATGCATATATTCGCTCCTTCCCAACCAGAGGTACACACGCAAGTCAAGAGGCATAGGCT